CTGTACTGTCTCCATCCAGTGCACCGAGGCGCCCGAGGACACAATCCATATCCACAACCTCTACAATCCGGAGACCAGCACAGGGAACAGCACCATCCCCCTCCTGCGCAGAACGATAACCGAAGCCAACAGTGAGAAACAAATCGTGGTTGGGGACTTCAACCTCCACCACCCACTCTGGGGAGGCACAGGCAGCGACCGGGACGCTGAGGCGGAGGAGTTGGTCACACTCATGGCCGACCAACAACTGGAACTCCTGATCCCACAGGGCACCGTCACGTACGATGAACACAATAGACAAACCACGATCGATCTCGCTCTCGGTACACCGTGGATTCACGAGAGGAAGGCCTACTGCGGGCTCAGGGAAGATCTCGACCACCAATCGGACCATCAACCAATCGCCATAACAATCATGACAGCGGTTGAAACATGCGACCCGCCCGACCAATGGCAATGGCAACGGACGAACACACAAACACTGGAGCTAGAACTCCAGAGGAACCTACCCCACCCGACCGTCTTGGACTCAGAGGCGTCGGTGGACCACCGAGTGCAAGGGCTAGTTCACGCCATTACAAGGGCCATCGATGCCTCCACACCGAAGGCCAAACCAAGCGACCGTTCGATCCCTGGGTGGACGCAGGAGTGCAAGGAAGCACAGAGGACAGCGAGGCGCCTTCGAAGACGATATCAGAGGACGCGCCTCGAGAGCGATTGGGAGGCATACTGCCAGGCCAGGAACTACAAAGGGAGACTCATCAAAAAGACACTCCGCGACGCTTACCGAGCAAGGGTCAGGGAGATGAGCGATTCACCACACGGGCTATGGAGGCTGGCGAGATGGGCCCGCAGGCGAGGGACAAGGCAGGCGAGGGACAAGGCAGGCGTTCACGCCACCTCTGCGCCGAAGCGACAACGACCTGGAGCACGACCACCAAGCCAAGGCAAACTTATTCAAAGAGACGTTCTTCCCACCCCAACCTGATGTGGATCTGTCCGACACTGCAAAACCAAAGGTACAGCGACCAACTTACCTTTCCTCCTATCACAGAACAGGAGATAACTCGAGCAATCGGATCCATGGCCGCCAAGAAAGCACCGGGACAGGAAGGCATCCCGGCACACATACTACAACTACTGCTCCTCTACCTGACACCCCATCTACTACAGATCTACAACGCATCCCTGGACCTACAATACTGCCCAGCGCACTTCAGACAATCCAAGACGGTGGTGCTACCCAAGCCCAACAAAAAGGACCGGTCGGAGGTGAAATCGTACCGCCCGATAGCCTTGCTGAACACCCTTGGTAAAGCCTTGGAGTCCATCCTGGCAACAAGGATCTCTCAGGCGGTCGAAGAACACCAGCTCCTCCCACACACGCATGTAGGGGGAAGAAAGGGAATGTCAACGGAACACGCGCTTCATGGACTGATGGAGCTGGTCTATCAGTCTTGGGACAACGATCAGGTAGCCAGCCTCCTCCTTCTGGATGTAACAGGCGCCTTTGATCATGTCTCTCACCCCAGGCTTCTGCACAACCTGCG